CGAAATTCCAAAACAAACAACAATAAATCAGAAAGGTGGTTACAGATTCAGAGTTACCGGTAGTTCGAAGGAAAAAAAAAATACCTTTTTAACACTTGACTGTTTGTAAGAGTAATAATTATATATAGAAAAAAAAATAGATTAACAACACTTATATAACACAGATGGTTTCCAAAGTTATCTTGGATTTCCTTGAAAGTTGTTAGACTAAATGAAATAGATCTTAAGAACACAAAAAAGTTTCTGTACTGATTCTTCACGAGTTATGGGTTTGGGTGACATGACAGCGACGCCGAAGAGTCTTAGATAAGTAACTCTCTTGCAGGGAGATTGTCAACTATCGAGCAGCTTCGCGACTGTCGTTTCTGAAATCTATCTGCCACTGGCTGCGCTCATCACTATTATGCATGATTGGCATCTGTAGCATTGATTGGCGTGGTCGCAATAGCAACTTAGCCAATGAGAGCCGTTGTTATGATCAGGAGCGTTAACACCAGCAAATGAGCTTCCTTTCCAGCAATGCACCTCCCGATCAAATGTGAGTCCTATCCATGGCCCCAGCTCCTCCCTTGTGTTTATTCCCGATAGTGTTGTTCTAAGCATGAGAACAGGCGATCGTAAAAGGGATCAAGGCTCGCATCACTTCTCACTGAGGCAGGGGAGCCCAGCCTGAGAGCTATCGGACACTGACACTTTATTGCCTGTATACGGCTTGTGAAGAAGCCTTATCTGTAGTGTGATCCTTAACTCTTTCAGCGAATGGCGCTAGGCCTAGGGCCTGCCGCCGTCCCCGTATCGGGATACACTCCCATGCTCATTCTCCCTACCCTGAACTTTACGGTGGGCCAGGTGGCTGCAGTGTGTGAGACGCTCGAGGAGAGCGGAGACATTGAACGTCTGGGCCGATTCCTGTGGTCGCTGCCCGTCGCTCACCCGAACTGTGCGGACTTGAACAAGAACGAAGCAGTGCTCCGAGCCCGGGCGCTTGTGTCTTTCCATACGGGCAACTTCCGTGAATTGTATCACATCCTAGAAAATTACCGTTTTTCTAAGCATTCCCACGCTAAGCTGCAGGCTATGTGGCTCGAGGCACACTATCACGAGGCAGAGAAACTCCGCGGCCGACCGCTAGGTCCAGTAGACAAATACCGGGTTAGGAAGAAATTTCCCTTACCCCGGACCATCTGGGACGGAGAACAGAAAACTCATTGTTTCAAGGAACGCACGAGAAGTCTTTTACGAGAATGGTATCTACAAGATCCCTATCCAAATCCGACGAAGAAGCGAGAACTGGCGCAAGCAACCGGCCTCACCCCGACCCAGGTGGGAAACTGGTTCAAGAACCGTCGCCAGAGGGATCGTGCTGCTGCTGCGAAAAATAGGTAAGTTTAAAACATTGGTTAAATACCAGATAATCTAAATATAAAACATTCGATATGCACGCTATCTTATTGGGACAGAATATCTGAAGCTGGCGTCAGGTTTCCTCATGGTACAAAAGAAAACAGCCTATCACCACTTTCAGTATTAAACATTATAGCAAACTATGCATACAACATAGTAGGATAATCTCAAATGACACTCAAGCCTTTTACCCATCCACGCTATTCGACAAACCCTATTTTTAACGTTCACAGAATCTTAATAAATTTAGAGCTTGCATTTATTAAATAAATTTACATTTTTTTATATCTTAAAATTGTTGAGATTTATATGTGGAGCAGCTTATAACAGACTGAGACAAATGTGTCACTAAGATGCATTATGCAAAATAAGTAAACTCTTGGAGCTTAACTGCTAACAATAACCAAATAACCCCGAAACCACATTTAGTTAACTCTTTACTTAAGAGTTCAACGTAAAGTTAGGTAGTGGGCGAAAATGAATAACCAATGTTTTTACTCGGTGTTAAACGTATATTGGTACTCTGTCGCTAGAATTTAGTCAGCTAACTTCATACTTAGTTAACACCCTTATGCTGACGTTGTATTAACACGTACCGTTTCTGATACAGCAACTGAATCTAAATAATATGCCTTTTATAAGGTTCGCGCAAACGTTCTGTTAAGTAGGTGAATATGTTAAGTGATTTTGTTTATAAAACAATTCTTTTGGTGCTAAAACAGAAATAATTGATATATTATTTTATTTTCATACTGTTACCATTGGATTTCTTCATTTTGACTGGTTTTGGTTTTATTCTTTCTTTCATTAGTTTTATTCAAGAAGAACCATAAGATCATACATATATAACAAAATAACGAATCATTAGCTAAATATTAAATTTTTTTTAGAAAAAGAGTGCTTTCACAAAGTTAAAGTTGCCGGTCGTTCAATATGGACCCCATTTTTGTATTTTTGGATTAACTCAGTTTTCTATCAGACTTCTCATTTACACGCTTAAATCAATTTTAACATCATTTTTAAATCTGTATGTATATTATATAGGCCTGTACTACTGACATCATGTATTACCTGTGACACTCGTCACTTTGCATCATTATAGTATAATACAATATGGGTGTTTGCATGTTCACTAGTATATATTAGATGTGGTATCATACGTTACTTTTGTTAATAATAGATTGATTTATTAGATCAATACAGACATTATTGTTTAAACGTTCTTTGCCGGTTCGCATAATGGTGATCTCAATACCACTAATCATCTACATAAACACCTGTTGAGCATTCTAACCGTATAATCTGTTTTATATATATGCGTTCGTCTGGATTAGGTGGATGCACGGATGAACAATTGATATGATAGCATCACATCTCCATTCCAATTCATCATTGTGACCCAACATTCACGCGATGGTTTTTGTCAGAATCTGAATGTTTCTATATTATTATGATATGTAAGATATTTGGTATTTTAAACCTGAGTGTCACCTTATGCGACACTTGAGATAAACGACTAGGTCACAAACCTCAAGACTCAGTCACCTCTCATTTAGCATTGCTGATCAGAGGGAGGGCAACCAATAAATAGCGCCCACCGCCTATGCAACTACTCTTAAGCGAATAGTGGAATTAACTATTATAACGCGCTCACTGCTGAAAGTGCGGATTACACTTAGCAGTATATCGTGACTCGATCTTTGGACCTCTCGATCCGCATCCGTACACGCCAAGAACTAGGCCACGCCAGGTTTTGTAAGATAAGACATCTCAATCAGGGTCATCGCTAATGAGAATGAAAATGAAAAATTTAACTTGTTGTGTTAACTATCTCGAACTGTAAAAGTTAGACTACGATTTTGAAAAACTCGTCTATAGATGTACCAATATGTACAACAGCGAAAAATGAAGCGAATTTCTTAACATGTCGCATATATTTTTAAAATCTGGTGTGTTTATCACGTTTGACTTAACATGGTATGTTTGCATATAGCAAGATCCTATAACACTATGTTTTGCTATGCAAGTTAATTCAAATTCTTTGGAATGTGATATGACCAAAACCTGCTACACCGACAATAATGATCACTTAAAGATCTGAACTGTCAAAACGTGGTCTCAATGTTACACCGACAATAATGATCACTTAACGATCTTAACTGTTTTGATTAAAATGCGAATGGCTTTATGAACAACGTCGGGAATTAGTTGATGACTTTCAGAAATCATGAGAACGGCACCATGTAATCCATTCTTTATGTCATTTTTTATATGCTGGAAATGTTCATGAAAACAGATAATGGCTCGAAAATATTGTTTTTACATAACTTTAGTAGATTACAAACAGACATAAAACAAACTAATTAACTTGCACGAAGACCCTTCAGCTGCTTTGCGTGTATTATAAGCACGTGTTTTTTTGTTGTTGTTGTTTCTGTCCTGAATGTTGCTTGGCCTGATTATTCTTTCAATTCTAGAAATCAGTAAAATTGTATAGTATAGTTCGTTTTTCCAAGCTTCCTGGGCGGTAAGGTGTTGTTTTCGCCTTGATGAAGATTAACAGTGACCAAATAGCAAAGTCGGAGAGAGGAAACAGTCGGTAGTAAAGTCTATAAAGTTTGTATTCTATGCACATATATATAGATACCCATACAAAGAAAGGCTTGTAAATTAACTATATATATATATATACTATTATATATATAAAATATACAACAAAAGACTATATATATATTTCGGGATACTTTTTTAATAACTACGTATGTTATACATATATTGTTAATGAAAGTTTATTTTCTGCCATAGGTCTACTTTTCACTTAAAACATTAACTTATTTTTTTGCTTAGTCCAATCATAATATATCTACTAGTGTGTTTAAGTCCTTTCAAAATACTATAATAGTACTTGCCTGAATTTAATGCTTTAGAATTAAAAAACAAACAAAAAAGAACAAACGTGGTAACCATTATGAGCCTGAAGAAAAGAATCTATAAAAAGTTGAACTCGATGAATCATATGATACATAATGAAACACTCCTGCATAACTTTTCATTTATGAATAGTAAATCACCTCAAACATACCGTATAATTTCTATTCCTTTTTCACGAGACTTTCGCACCCTTTCGAAAGCTATTACACCGGAAACTATTTAACTGAAAATAATTATTATTGTTACCATAATCTGTTTACAAAAGGTGCGGGAATGAATAGTGCACCTAATATATATATAAAAAGAGCATTAATTATAGATGGTAGTTTTTATTTAATTTATTATTCATGTACATAAGAAATTATGTATGTATTCTGAATTTGAAGAAAACATATTTGGCTGTGGCTTAGGTTCATATGTGTGACTTTTTCATTGAGTACCAGAGGCTGGTTGTGTTTTTATTAGTAGTCTCCCACTTAACAGACTTTTTTGGGTGATGAGAATGTTTCTCTTTCTACACGAGATTTATGAATTATGTTGTAGCGAAACAAAGTTTTTAAAACTGTAATTAAAAAGTTTTTCACAACTAATTATATATCTTAACCATCATGTTTAGAGTTTTAAAACCAAGTGAACTTGCATGAATTAGAATCACCGCAGATGTAATTAAGTCTGATTTTTCTTTTACGAAAAGTGTCGTAGATACGCAGGGCAGAATAATGAATTCCTATATTTTAAAAGCACTGCATGCTTGTTAGCATAAACAAGGACAATCCTGCAGCATTGAATATACATGTATTCAATATTCATAATAAAAGGTGCATAGTTTTATTAGCATGGTTCGTGATTACGGAACACGCTCCTAACGAGCCAGATCTTTTCATACGAAATACGCTGTTTTACACAAGGTTGTTCGGGCTACTGTTCGCATGCAACTTCTCCGGACCAGGTTTTCAAGTTGTCTCTATTTAAACCTTTTTGTTCCGCCTGCCGTTCACTCATATTGCGTGCAAGATGCTGTGCTGCAGAGTCACGCTATGTAGAATCGTTTCCGTCCCCGTGAGAGACTCAAGAACACCAGTGATCCCTTTCATGACATATTGATGAAGTTTGACTAGTAAAATACAAATTTTATTTCATATACTGCTGTAGACTACAATCACTCTGGTATGGACGGTACGAAAGATAAGACCGGTGGTGTTAACTATGACTGGGGGCTTAAATAGTTCATAATCATTGCTTTATACCGGATCTACGTGTGTTTATGTATGTAACACAAAAACACACATACATATATATCTAATAGTAACTGTAATTAGACACACACACATATACTCTTGAATGTAAGACCAAACACAACAAAATTTCTATAACAAGATAATTCTCTTAACACATATCTCACTTCCGCATATTTTGGTGTTGGGAATTGCTTTCCACCACTCAATAAAAGGGCCCGGCATGGCCAGGTGGTTAGGGCGCTCGACTCGTAATCTGAGGGTCGCGGGTTCGAATCCCCGTTACACCAAACATGCCAACCTTCGCCTTTGCCTGGTCCCAAGTCCAGGATGAGAAACGAGGAGGGTTGGGAGCGGGGCTAGCAACTCCACCCCGTAAAAACCAACCTGCTACAAGTAACTACAACAACACCTTCCGTTGGTGAGGTGTTGTTGTGGCCCTATGCTCCACTGGGAGTTTACAGGAATAAAAAAACAAAAAAAACATCGATATTAATTAAATAACTTACTACATAAATACAAATTGCTCTTAAATATCTAGATTTAATTACTCTTAAAGACCTATCTTTAAAGGTAACATCAAACTGCCACGTATGACAAGCCTATTTACAATATGGCCGTATATGGTGTGTTTTATAGCAGTGTGATATAGGCCTACGTAAACATTTGGAAATAATTAGAATAAACCTTTACGAGCACGTTTATATATATTATCGTGCCAAATAGATTGTAAAGAATTACTTAAAATTTTCAAACAAAAGCGTGCAAACTGATAGGATTTGTTGTATGTCAAATCTGACAAATTTTCCGTG